ACAGCCCTTTTCAATTTGCAAAAAAGTTACTCTGCAGGAATTTTGATTGCGAGCTTTCAGTTATTCAAGTCTATTTCTCTTGTTTTATCAACATTGCTTCCAAATGATTTGTTCTTCCTTTCTCAAAAACTTTGATGATAAGTAAAACTTAGAAAACCAATACAGTTTTAGTACTTTTTATGGCTACTAGACTTGACCATGTCTTATTCAGACAACCAGTGTCATGTGTTATTATTGTGTGAAATTATTCATTCAACAGAATTTTCATACATCCTAAAAATATGAAATCTATGAAGAAATTTCTCGAATGAGAATTAAATTTGTTTGGATTCAGTCAGATATTCAGAAAAATAATACTTGATCTTCATTATCTAATACTAAACATAAACTCATATGATGTTAGGTGATGTCTACAAAAGTTTCAACTCATCATAAAGTTTTTGGTTTAATATTAATAATATGCTGTTTGTTTCTTGGTATACGTTTAAATTTTCATCCTTTACGTTTTATTATTCTTCAAAAATCGTTTAATTCTTCTTGTTTACAATGGAATCCTATCGATCAACGTCTATATGAAACATATAACTGTTCCGATCGTATACAGATAAATAGTTTTATATGGACTTACAATGGTACGGGATTAATGAAATATATTCAATGGATAATAACACGAAGATTAGGAAATATTATAATTACACAATTAAATAATGATTGTCACATTATTCAACAAAATTATTTTTCGTTAAATTCAACAAATAAAACGTTTGTTCTCATTTACATCATGTCTCTATCAGCTAATTTAACTAACGAATCATCATGTTCAATTATGATTAATCAAATGGCAAGAATAAATTTAAGATATATTAATCAAATTTATTTTAAACGAAAATCTATTCTTGCGACACTTCTTTTTCAACAATTAGATTCGATAAAAGAAAATATCAATCGAACTTATAACTTAAATATTTCTATGGAAGATAATATTACCAAAGCTATTTATACGACAAAATATTTTCCAAAATTTTTCACATCTATTCCATCTATTAAATGGATAGTTATCGATGCAGAAGATTTAATTAAAACAAATTTAAGTGATTGTGAAAAAATCTTAACAAATTTTATTTCATTATTAGGATTATCGAATTCATCATTAGATTTAAAAAATATTATAGAATATGATTCTCATCAATTTCTGGAAGATTCGACTTGGTGGGATCAATCAAATGTAATTGAAAATATTTATAATATATCCATACCATCTCGTTCATTAAATTTTACATATTCTAATGATTTTTATTATTTACATGGTGATCGTTCATTTACACAATATTTATATGAGAATCGTCAATGTTATAATGATGGTATATTTGCTCAAATGCAATCTGAAACAATAACTAATCGTAATTCAACTGATCAACCAAATCGATGTTTATTGAAATCATTTGATTGTGCTTTTAGTGATTTATATTCATTGCAGGATCGTGAACAACTCTATCAACAATCTTATCCCACACCAATAAAATGTGGTTTTACAATTCCATCAATTTTTGATAAAATTAGAAATCGATATGGACGTAATCATACATGTGAAACAATAATTTATACGTGTGTTACAAATTGTTATGATCCTTTACCACAAGTACGAGGTGATATTCATTCTTCATTTTGTTTTGTTGCTTTACTTGACACACGAACTATAAATGCTTATAAAAATCTTAGTTTAACAAATTCTAGTGTTCATTGGGATTTGATTGATTTAGGTGTGAATGCTACACCATTTAGTGTTGCTGCAAAATCTACCGAAACATTAAAGACTATTGGACAACGACTGTTTCCATTAGCTAAATGGCTTATATGGCTTGATGGTAAAGGTCAAATTAATGATATTGGTGAACTATTGAAAGAAGTACGAGCTCCAGTAATGAGTGTTCGACATCCTATTCCAGAACGAAATCCAGCATCTGAAGTGTATCCTACTATTATTCATGTATCTGCAAAAGAAATGGCATTTCCTCAAAGACTCAATAATATTGTAATAGATATTGATCTTCAACAAAAACAATATAACCGTGACGGGTTTTATCATCGTTCAAATATACTCAATTTAACATTATATGATATTGCAATATTTATATATAGAAATAATCATCCATGTATTTTTCGTTATTCTTGTGGATGGCATAATGAAATAAATTATTTTTCATATCGTGGACAATTATCAGTTTATTATCCAGCTGTTCGACTAAATTTAACGGATTATTTACATTTCTTACCAGAAAAGTTCTATACAACATTTCGTCATCGATCAGTTTGCTAGAAAAACAATTTATAATTTAAATTTAATTGTTATCGATGCATATAATTTATTAAAAGAAATGATGAATGTCATTCAAAAGTTGAAAATTGTTGTAAAAATTATTGTTAGTGTTCTATCTTCTTCCATACACTACTCCTGATTACCTAAGCACTTCATACATTAATCACATATTCTACACTGTTATATAGTTATGTTCTTCTTTCTGTAAAAACTTATATATGTTCTCTGTTTATTTATTAATATAGAAATTGACAGACAGTGAAATAATTTATTCATCAAAATCTTCAAAAATACAGCCTTTCTTTAAATATGAGAACAAAATGTTACAAAACTGAGTAAATGTTTTGTAAGTGCATGAAATTTTCTATCATCTTGCATACTATTGCTAATATTGATTTTTCAGTTATTTGGTAATCAATATTTCGAATATTGTTAATGTACTTATATATCAAGTGCTGTTGAAAATTTTTTCGAGAACGAATAATTTAAGTACTTATTAAAAAAAATTCGGATTAGTTGATTTTGCTGTGATTTTTACCTAATAACATTGATGATAGACTAAAGTGTATGTATAAAAATGGGAATGACACGAATAAAATTTTTATTCTATGTGTAAATTATTCCTTAAGCTCTAATTCAATTTCGTTTTTGTCTGGTATAAATTAATAAGTGACCCCTGAGAAAAATAAACATCTTAGTATTGAAAACTCAACGACTGCTAGAATATCATTTTTTTTTAATTTTTTATTCTCTTTTTTCATTTTTTGAGCCTTAACAAATTCCATAATAAACTTTTACTAATGCAAAAAACAAGTCAAAACATAAGATTACTTGTATTTGCTGTAACTTCTCTATTTCAAGCCAAAGCTAATAGAAAATTTGCAGTTTTGACGTTGAAAGCATTTCCAAATATTAATAAAATAGTCAATTTTACAAATTAATGTTTTACAAATGTTTCTTTATACTACTCTAGATTTTTCTTATAATCAAGACTGTTTACCAGTATTATCAATAACAATAATGAATAAAATCATGATCTATTTGATGATTATTATGAAGTCATAGTATGTATAGAAGGAAATATTGTGATATATATATCTTACATTAATATATTTATTATAATACAATGATTCGTTTTGTTCAGCTAATTACATCAATGTCTAATAAATTGAATATTTCTATGAGTAATCTAATACGTCAGAGTTTTGTGAATGAAGTGAAACAATCATTGAGGATTAGTCATAATAAACAAATTCTAGGATGAAAAGAACAATTCGTTTAAGTGCTGTTATATCACTGATAAGTAATATATATAAAATCATCAACATATATTTTACATTGTTTGGTGATAGATCAAGACGTTCCTAGAATTTCGTTTTCTACCATATTTATAACTAATTTTCTTCTCAGCAAACTATTTGACCACGTAGTATAACAAAGCATGAAATATGTTCTCCACACGTGAAATGAGCTGTGTAAATAGGACTCTAGACTAGATGCACATGAAACTCAGAATCGACAATTTTAATTCATTTAACACCTAAACATAATGAAACTCAATCCGATGAACTTCGAAATATATTATTGATGATGAAGAAGTCTTTAATAATGTTAATGCTTACAATAAATATTGGGAACAAATTGTAGATGATGATCAAATCTATATTTATGATAGCAATGAGAATAGTTTTAATGAAATTATTCACATAATAGACACATTAGCAATTAAATAGTAAATGTTTATGTTTTCAACTTATCCTCGTTATCTTATTGGATAGTGAAAAGGCAAAAAAGAATTTAATTGATGCACATAAAACAATTCATATAATGCTAATCGTTGACAAGAAGAAAAACTTCAATAATTTATAAATACTTCTCGATCTGAAAATGCTCTTCAATGATATAGTTATCAATGTTTTATTTTCACTTCGATTCTTTTTGAAAAGATAAATATGAACAACTAAAAATTAAATACGAGAAAATATATTGTGCAATCGATTTGTTTGTTTATCGTGGTCAATTTATTTCAAAAAATAGTTTTATATCAATAGCTGTAAATGAACATATATCAGAAACTTTTAGTTCTAGTGGAACTATATTAGAAGGAGAACATGTATTATTTCATATATAAGTCAATAAAAATATAACCGATCTCAAACCATGTACTGCTATTTCTTACTTCAATTATGCTTGAATCAATATTTGAAATTAAATATTTGACATTTTCTGATTATATTCATTTGTGAATAATTGAATTGCATTTGTGTGATGATGATGTAACATGAAAATAATATGTTGACAAAAGTCTACTAGTTAATGAATAAATTTCTAATATTCTAGTGATAATCTGTTACAATTAGAAGTTAATATCAAAATCCTATTAGCAGATTTTCAGCAATAGGCAAAAAGTGATGTCCTACATTAAAATAGCATAATTAACAAAATTGTACTTTTGTTAATTATCAAAAGATAAGTTTTGTTAATGATGAGATATTAAATAAGAGTTGCTTGAAAATCAATTAAATGTTCTCAATAATTAGTTTAATTATATTTATATTTATTAATTAATTAAAATAAAATAATAAATTTTTATAAATATATTTGATTTTCAATTCATTATTCTAAAAACTGAATATAAACCAAAAGAAACAAAAGAGAAAAATATTGAATATTTCATAGATGATTACCATGATGATCTATTCGTTAATGGAATATCATTAATCCATTTTTCATATAATTGTGCTCGTTCTCTTGAATCTTTAGTCCATTCAAAATCATTATATTTAACAAAAACAACTTCATATGGTTCTAATGATGTACCATCAAATGCTTTGTTTATAAATGGATTTCTATTTGAATTACAAACTTTATTATGTGATTGAGAAAAATTAATATGTTGATATTTAGTTAGAAGAGAATCAATCATATAACCTGATTCAAGTATTCGATTTGATGATGGTAACTCACTATATAATGAAACATGATCTTTAGTTGGATAACAAGTAAATATTCCTTCTGGATATGCGCCACCCGAATTACCTGGTTTTAATAATATTGTTAAACCAATGAAATCAGTAACAAATAAATAACTTTGAACATGTGGAACTCTTTCACAACTAATTGTACATCCAACTAATTTAACATAATTATTAATACGATTTATAAATATTGAATACCAATAATAATTTATGTTAGATTTCAATAGAAATTCAATAAAATAAGGTGGAAAAAAAGGACCACGAATTGATGAATTCATAAATATAAAATATTTATATTTACTTAAATCTATTTTTCTATTATTATTATTCTTATTCTTATTTAAAGACTTATTTTTCCAAGGATCTCCAATAGTATAATGATCAAAAAACCATCCAATTGTACCAAAATCATAACATTTATTTTCATGTTGAATATAATAAGCATTATTCGATGTTAATAATGGCATATCACTTTCATTTATTGGTTTATTATCAATTTGTTGTAATATAAAATAATAATCAACATGATCTCCTTGACGAACACATTTATCAATAAAAAATTTTAAATTTCCATATGCATGAGAATGTGTACCAGCATATATATAGATTAATAATATATCATTATGCACCGATTTATCTATATAAATTAATGTTATTTATTTAGATTTAAACAATAAATATCAAAAAAATTCTTTTTAAAAATAAAATTCTATGTAACTTTATTCAATAAAATATATTCGAATATTTCACTAGTTTGAAAAACTGTTAATAATCATTATTCTTAGTTAAATAGTTCTTGTTTATTTAATTTTAAATATCATCTGAATAAATACTAATGAATATTATTCTATATTTAACTAAGCTAAATCTCAAAAAGTTTTTCGACATTAAAAACAAATTTATTTATAAATTCTTCAACTAGATCTAAACTCTTATTAACGTAAAACTTCAATCATTTTCAATCGAAATCACAGAAAATAAGTTTGTCTTTATTCAATAAAATGTATTAATTAGAATATCAATATTTGGTTTGTTCACTTCCTCTGCAATTATTAAACAGAATATATATCTTTGAAAATATTCAATAGAGTTTTTCTCATTTTTTTTTGCATTTTCAAATATCTTTATTGGTTCGTCGATGAATAATCTAGTGAAAAAAAAAAACATTTTTTCTTCTATAAACTAAGACTTCATTGTTCCAAAAAAAAAACAAACGAAAAATGGAATAAATTTCGACGCAACATTTTTTTTTCGAATTAATAATTTTAACATACTAGAATAGTTAATAATAGTTGGTTCACTGTTTTGTTTATCAGGATAAATAAATTTTTTTCCCAATGAATGAATAGATATATAGATGAATGCCACTGAAAATAAAATAATCAACTTGTGATATTTACTCCAGTCGATTAGATGATGAATATTTCCTTCTAAAATATAAATTGTATTCAAAATAATGAAGCATCTAAAACTTCTGTACAAACACGGATTTTCTTTCATTTTGAAGACGAATCTTGATTTTAGTGAGCATGACATCAGAAAAAAAAAGATTTTTTTTACGGCAATATTGACACAGTGACTTTCCGTCTACCTCTCTGCTTTCATTTCAACCTCAAAGAAACAACAAAGCGATATTTTCGTGTATTCGAAGACTATATCCGTATTCTATTGATTTAATGATCATCGTGTCAAATCGATATGATTCTAAATGAAAGAGAGTTTTTCGGCTCGAAAAACAAATTTGAATATATTCGAGATCATATCTTGAAAGTGAAAATGAAAATTGTTATTGTCATTTCTAAGGACATGAAATATTTTATCAGGTAATTGAACATCTATACGATTTTGAGTTTTCTCTCACTAGGCGTTTGCACCGCTCTTCAGAAAGAATTCATGATGAGGAAAGTCTTCGTTACGGTATTTCTTACTGATGCATTTCGTTTTTCAAGAAATCGACTAAAATATAATTTCTTCTAAAATTTGCTATAGGTTTTTCTCTGTTAAGTATTAGATTTAATGCATTAAATTCATTTATGCTAGTGTAGTTTACATTGAAAAATGAAACAGAGTAAGATGTTGTTAAAAAAAAAATACAAGCACTTTTATTTGATTTTTTGTTCTGTTCTGAATAAAGATTTCTTTATTGAACAAGGTTTCGCAAATAACTTATTTTTCTAATGAATGCTATAAAATTTTTTACTTCGTTACAATTCTTTGTCCATAATTTTAGTAAACAGAATAGAAAAAAAAAGGTTCGTTTTTCAGCGTAAAATCTTCACTTTTAAAAAACTTTCCTTTGAATATACGATGGAAAATGATTTTTTAAAAGATCATTATCTATTATCAAAACTAATTGATTTTTCTATTAAAATTTTAAAAATGGATTAAATAGATTTAAAAAGTAAAATTCGTTTATTAAAATATTGAACTCACTTTGACAATATCTCATGGTAGAAATCAATGCATAATGTAAACTAACAATTCTGCAAGTGTTTCGTTTTTTTTTCTTTTCTTAAAAAAAGAAAATTACGATGGATTTTTTTTCTCTTTCTCAATATTCTATTCTACACAACCCTTAAAAAATGCACGAGTATACATACTTAAACAAAAAGTAACAAGAATCTGAGTCACTGTGAACAAAAGAACGAAAAGGATTCGAATACAATAAAATAGATTTCTACAGCTATTTCATCAATTTTTTTATTTCGTAAAGTACATTTTATATTCAGTGTCAAGTCGTTTATTGTTCAAATAGTTCTAGTTTATTTATGTTCAATATAGGAAAAGATATTTTTCGACACCTTGCTAAAACGCTTGTCAATAGAAGATTTTCTTTCAATTCTTAATTTTAAAGGTATAGATAAACCATTATCAAGAGATATTTTTTGCAAGATGTTTGTTCATAAAATAATAGGCTTTATTAAAAACAAAAAAAAAATAAAATAAACTAGAAGATGTACCTAGAAAAAGATCTAGACTTTAAACAAAAAAACTTATTTTATTTATACTCATTTTATTTGATAAAATAAGATAAAACGTAATTCAATGCTTCGAATAAGATTATTTTTTGATAAATGATCAATTCACTAATGAAAAATACTTATGATAAGAATATTTTTATGTTGCCATTCAATATTGAGTAAGATCAATAGAGGAATATCAATTAAATGGCTAACTATCGAAAAGGAATTCTAATATGATTAGAAGCTTAGAAAAATATTCTCATCTATTGATTTATATCTAAATCTTCTGAAATATAATCACATAAGAATTATATTAAAATTATTCTTTGATATGATAATTCGAAAGACGAACAATCGATAATAAAATATTGAATCTATCAAATAGATAAGGGTGTAGGTATGACAAACATAGTCGTGTTTGTATCAGCTGAAACCCAGTTCCACATCCATGCACACGCACACCCACATCTTTTTTATTTTGATGCTCTTGTATTTTCGCTGATGTCTATGGAAGTAGATCGTAATATCAATGGTTCAATGATTCAACAAGAAGCTAAATATTTGCTAGATATAGCATGTTGAATCTAAAGATTGTGATAACTTCTTTCAATTCATTTAAATTTAATTCAAGTCTTTTGTTGAATTATTTTTTTTCTAAATCAATTCTCTCAATCATGACACAAAGCTAAACTCGTATAATGAATTGAAGACAAAAGACATTGTTTTATGTACAAACATATTCATATTTTTTTCGAGTAAGATTTTTTAAAACTTATTTCGGTTGTTTTTGAATTTGTAACAAGTGACTATGGGTTATCAGGGACGTGAACCCAAAACTGACACTGCTAGAAATAATCATGGACAATAGAACTTTACACTATTTCTTTTCATTCAAGACACAATATAGTACCACTCGAAAAATTGCTCATATGCTTTCTTGGTTTTCCAATAAGAAAACTACCCGAGTAGCATTATTATTGCATATATATGAGATGGAAAATGTAGTTTGTAATTTTCTGTTGCTACAAAAACAAGAAAAAAGGTACTGATACAAGTAGCATTGACAATCTTTGTCGTCGTTTATTCCACTGAAACAATTGCTCCAGATAATCTGCTCTCTTTTGTCCGACTTGATTCCTTTGGAGATATAGTGTGATGATTGTCTATGTGGAAAAACGTAGATGAGAATATGAGAGAGAGATGAAGGAAAAGTAACACTTAATGTGTTATTTCGTAGTGCATCAGCCAAATATTGTATCCTTCTGTCTTCGATTCGATTGTATTGGAGATCGAGAGTGATGGATATCTGCGTACCCTAGGCGTAGATACACATATCATACGATCTATAAAAGAATACAAAAGGACAAAGTTCTGATTAGATAAATTGTGAGAAGAAATGAAAGATTCCATTCTACTTACCAAACATTACACGGAGTATATATTGAGAGGGATGCATACGTGAGGGGATCTGGCCTGGACATAAGAGATGCGTGATCAGTTGAAAGAGGTGAACCAATGTTTTGAAATCAGTGGAGATCGAACTAAATTGGAAACAGTTACGTTGATAAGGGTGTGGGTGTGGGCAAGAAGAAAGAAAGGAGTTACATTCGCACCCACCCATACCCCCGCCCACACCCTGTTTGTTTAACTATAATGCATTGTTGGATATTCATATAGAATTGGATGTGCGGGTGTGAATGAGGATTATTCTTTGTGAGCGCACACCCACACCCTCATTGTCATACTTTATTTTTCTATCTTTTTTTATGTTGTATCTCTTCAAATCTCTGTATTATATTTTTGTAAAAATTAGATCTGATGAATTGTTACTTTATAGTTAATTAGAAATAAAGATTTACTTACTTGACGTTTTGCAACTCGTACAAGGTGCATTCGTTACTTCAATATTTTTGCGCATAAAGTTTCACTGATTGTCCTGGTCGCTAATTTATTCTTTTTGCTGAATTTTCACTTCGTTGAATAGAGGTTCGCTATATAATCATTTCACTAATTTTTTTTTCGTTGGCTCTTTTTCGCTGAAAACCCTTTCGCTCAATAGCTCCCATACCAAACCCACACCCTCATATATACAGATGTATATAGGGTCATATACGTAGATTTGTTACCTTTTCACTCTGTGTGTGACATGTGGATGAGTGTTGATAGTGCTTGATACAAAATGAATGCATACTTACGCCTACACCTACCCATATGAAGAACAAAAATCCATATTCGACCTTTATAAAATAAAAAATGAAATAAAAAGAAAAATAACAGTATAAATTGCATTATTTATATATATTTAGTTATACATATCCAAATGCTATGATTTATTGATATTTTAAAACTTTACGTTAGTTATATTGATTGTTTTTTCGCCGATGAAACAATAACAATAAGTTTCCGATGTAGCAACGAGCACAGCAGCTGAATACACGAAGAGAAGTGAAAGTAGATAGAGAATGATTGATTTCATCGATACATGCGTAGGGCTTCTTCGTTTGCTTAGATGTAGGGGAACAGTTTCTTTCTATTTTGTTTGAATCAGTTCATTCGAACTAAAAAAACAGTAAGCACATGTTTCGTATCACAAGCGTTCGCTGAGGCATACTAGTCCGTGAAATTCTTCACAGAACAAGATGGCATCGAGAAGACTCTGCAATGACGACCATGAAAATATGTTGTTGTTTGTATACCTCTGCAGTTCTCGCTTTTTTTTTCTTCTGTTCGTGCTTGTATGTTACCGATTTCAGTTTTATGTGGTAAGCAAAGCAAAGAGTTGTTATTACAATTCACTTTGTGTCAAAATATGAAATATGGTAGAGTTATTATTTGTAATATAAAACTGAGAAGTTCCAAGGTCTCGTACACTGTGTATGCAAGATTTCTACGATGTCTATCGTAACTAGTGACAAACTTCTCAGGATTTCTGTTACAATCAATGATGGGTTCCGAAGCTAGCTGTGGACATGAGTATGGGTCAGTATGGGAGAAGAAAAGAACCACATATGGACAACATACTGATATCCACACTCATTGACAGATTTTTAGGGAGTGGGGAGGGGGGAACAAAAAGAAAAGAAAAAGAGTTGAAACAATAAATATTTGAGATGATTATTTTTTAAATTGATGAATCAATATAATTTTAATGAGATAGCTCGAATTTAATTATAGTCTTTTTAAAATTTGAATGTAAACAAAGTGCGCCTTATAAAGATTGTTTATGGCAGTAAATCCTGTATACGGATTTTCGTACAGTCAAAATATAGATATACTCGTCGGTGATATGAATGCAGTTACAGAGACCGATTATTCCGAACAGTATTTTAGTGGTATTGTTACAGAAAAGCGTCAGCAAACTAGGCTAGAATTGCCTCGATTTCAAGTCATCAAACTATTGATAATTCATTAGGCTTTTTAGGATACTTTTCGACATATCGATATGGAGCTCGAATCGATTATATCTTTCTATGTCCATTGTCCAATGATGAGTGAATACTGACAGAATGCTTTATTGTGAATATTCTTCAAGCGACTAATCATCATGTCGTTGTGACTACGTTCCAAGATAAATCAAAATTCGAAAAATCAATACTGTAGTGATAGATCATTATAATGGCATTTTTTGGCTGATCGATTTAGGATAACGGTATATTCAAGTTCTCAAGTGAAAAGTAAATATGAACAATTCAGAAAACTTATTCAAATAGAGAGCAAACAAAGAAACATCATCATCAAATTTCAGTTCTCATATTCAATAGGAAAACTATTTGATCATTGTTGTACAATTGTTGTTTTGCGACTTGATCGTGCTAAAAACAAAAAGTTGATCTCTAGGCATTTTCGAATTGATGATAATATTGAATGTAACTAAGTAGTAATGAAAAGAATTACAAGCTAAAAATGACATTTGACTTGCCAATGACGATAAATAAATGTTTGCGATTCGACTATTTTCGTTATTTATATTTCATTCAAAATATCGAATAGTGGTGTTTATAATTTATCAATCGAAGTGTCGAAAACAAAGTTTGAATTTTAATATTTGAATCTCATTCGTTTTGTCATAGCAATATGATAATCTTTTATCGACTATTATAAAAATAGCTATTTAGTCTAAAACACATTTCACAAGCGAGTCTTTGTTTGGATAGTTTTTTTTTGTCTGTAGAGACCCGAGATTAAAACCAAATCGAATAGAATCTGAATGAAGATTTTTTTATTTGTTTCGATTTCTGATAGAAACTTATGAAAAACAAATATGAATATACACTTTGAGAAGTCATGATATAATATGTCGATAGCAGAAAAAAAACAATAAATGAAAATGAACTATCGGGCAAGCAGATATTTTCGTCATCTTGTAGATGGATGTCTGCGGATATGACTGTAATGTTGATGATAAGAAAACCTCACGCACATCCTCTACTAATGATGTGCGTAGATGAGACTATCTAAGTATTATCTGACACCTTGGTCTCTCTTTTTCATCTTTTGTTGTTTAAAAAAGAAATTGAAAAAATAATTGTGACAAAAATATACACTCATTTGCGAAAAAGAAGTTTTTTCTTCGTTTCAACAGAAATATCATTTTTTGTTTTCACTCAGTTATCGATTCTTTTCTCGCACTGGCCTCCTATTCTCAAAACGTTTCAGGAGGGTTGAAAACGAGAACAGATCATAAACAATACCACAGACCAAACGATGAAACTAAGAATAGCAAAGAAAAAATAGTCACACACTCATTCTCAGCGAGCCATTATTTATTGTTTTGAAAGTTATTCATGCATTCTGCTGTTCATGCACATTACAATCGCTAGCAGAGAAAGATGCGTGCTTCATGTCACTGGCGACTTTAGCATGCATGAACGATAGAATTCAAAAGTAACTTACAATGAATGAGTGAATGTGCCATCATTATTTTTACCATCTCTACTATTTTTTCATTTGAGTATTATTTGTGTTGATAACTTCAATATCATTGCGCATTCTTCGATGAATCTGTAGAACTCGTTGATGATCAAAGAAAAGAGATAAAAGTTCTATTTCAAATATAGATTACGAAACTTACATTGTTCAAAGCTTCATTTCTTTGATATTATTGTGAGAATAGAAGCAAGGAACTATTATATGTCAAAAATGGAATGAATATATTATTTTAAATCGTTAAAATATGAAATAACAAATAAATGTAATTAAAAATTGCTGATGGATAGTAAAAATTTGTCTTAATTTACTACAAATAGCGGAATTTTGTCGTTATTAATATTATAATTGGCGATTGGTAATGGAATAAAATTGCATCAGTTCTCAACGAATAACGTTCCAAGACATGACTAGTAATATTCATTTTTTTGCAAGTTTCATTCTTTTAAAGACGGATCTTCGGATGAGAGAAGTATTAGTTATGCATTTATTACTTATTCAGGCCGTTTCTTTAACAATCATGTCTTTTGATTGTATATTTTAAAAAAAAGCTTAATTGTATGCTCGAGCAGCAGGATGCTAATGTCAAGACTTTTTCATCTTCCTCGACACCATTGTGTCAACCTTCTTCCTTGTTTCTATTTCTATCTTACGTTCTTCAAAGAAGGATAAAACTAGAAGCAATGAAAATCGACGCATAGTCATTTTTACGAATGAATTTCACAAGCAACAACAATACATACAATGTCATTCTTTTCTTATCTATATCTTTTGCTTCTATTGCTTTGATTATTGCCAGTAGTATATTTATATTGATTTTACTCAACAAATGGTTACATAATGTAACACATTTGTTAATATGTAATACGTGTGTTTCATCAATACTATTTTGTATCGTTTCGAGCACAAACTACATCTTTCTCATTTTTATTCCATGGGAAACAAGTGATGTTTCGTGTCGTTGACGAGGCTATTTCAGTTACATGTCTATATCCAGCGTTGTATTCCTACGCCATTCAAGCATTATCACGTTTTTTCCTTGCTGTACTTTCGAGAAAGTATCGATCAATTACTTCATTCAAAACGCATTTTTTTCTAATAGCTATTCAATGGTTGATTGTTGTGCTTCTACCATTACCGACTATCATCACACAAGATATTCACTATATATCGTTTGCTCTTTGTTGGGTGCCCTTGACGCACGCACTTCATGATGCTTACACACTAATCGCATATTATATAGTGCCCACACTATTCATCGTAGGTATGTACAGTTATATCTATTGTCGAACCAAACAAAGTTCAAATATTGCACTGTCAAATGTGGCTATACGAGAAATCATAAACGTGATCTGGAAGTTTTACGTAATATTATGATCATACTAGGAATCTATGTAGTTGGTGGAACGCCAACATTACTTTTTTTTGTTACACTAATTCAAGTTTGTTATCAGATAGGAATTGTCTTTATGTCATTAGTAGTTGCTATTGAAAAAGTTGTCACTATTCTTCTTGATCGTGAAATTCGAACTATTATCAAGCGTTTTCTAGAACGATCAATCATAAAAGTTGTACCAATCGATCACAATACTGTTACCTTAAGAAATCTCAATGCCATTCGTCCCAAATAATCTATACGAATTGAACTGACGAACTTTTGCATTGATTTTATGTTTAAATAGATTCATGGGCCAAGAACGACGCACTCATAATGATGACAAACTAAATACATGATATGACATTGAACGAATCAATTTTATTCTTTATATAAACATAAAGATTAAAATTAATTAGTACTTATTTCTTATACCATACTCATTGTCTTTTTATTCATCTTGTTCAATTTTTAATGTCTTTGTAAATCGCATTTTTTGTGTAAAGTTATTGTTCACACAAAAGAAATCTTAACTCACACCCTTACTCACTCCACCCAATTGTGCACAAAAGACTTTGAAAAATCCATTTCA